TGACTTTATTTATTTAAGATCTTATTTCCAGTAAACACTTATTTTTTTTCTTCTCGATTGTGGCTTTGCCTCACAATGTGTTTCATCAGCAAAGAAAAATAATTTACCATCCTTTACCCAAAGGGACTTAAAAATGAGGAGTCAGTCTCCTGTTGGTATTATACAGCCTCCCAGCCCTCCTTGCCAGCAGGGAGTCTGTTCAGCTAATTCCCACACCTCTTCATGAGCTGTTGCTGCCAGACCTGGAGCTATGTTAAGAATAAAGCAGTTCCTTTCCAAACACATGTTTTCAAGGACTTGTATATTTTTATACAGTATCAGACTTCACATTATGACATCCTTTCCACTGATTATTGATAGATTCATTTGAACTCTATTCATGCTTATCCGTAGAGATAATCTTGCATGCAAGGACAGAATGTGGCAATAGTCAGAGCTCAGAGTTGGCTCCTAGCACGTCTAGGAAAGCATTTTATATGGAATTTAAACAATTCATTTTGTAAAAGACAGTAGTTAACTGCTCCGATACTGAGTAAGGACTGCTGCAAGCCAGCAGCTCTGCTACATACACCCTCTTACCTGCCCCCTCCCTTCTTCCTGTAAATGCAAGATGCTACTTTTCAGTTATGTCATACTTACTATTGTGTATTTTAGGGAAAAGCATACACACACACCTACTGTGAAAGACCAGATGAACAGGATGTGAAGCATCAGTTTGGATTCAGCCTTTTACAATGTGTTTAGGAGTAAATCTCCAAATGATCTCTCACCAACAGCTTACATCAGACATGGCACTGCCAGATTTTCAAACACTGAGGTTAAGCTGCACAGCTACAAGGAGGCTTTTGTTGATATTTTAAGGTAGGTAGGGTTCACGAAAGAACAACAACGACCACACACTTTGTTCAAATTATTAATGACAACATTCTGTGCTCAGGAATGGCTGATTTTGCTAAGGAGATTTGTCTCTGAATTCATTTACATTAGCTATTTCAGCTATGCAAACCACTCAAATGAAGTCCTGCGCCTTTTGAAGGGCTTCATCCAGTACTTCAAAGAATACTCAACTACTCAGAAAACTTTCCTTCTTTATCTCTGCCTGGAGCCTTTCCCCATCCTCTTCAGGAAAAGAAAAAGGAAGGACAAAGACTTCCCTGGGCAAAGGAAAGGTTCTTCCTTTCCCCCTCCCCCCAGTACTCTGCAGATTCCCAAAGGACAGTCTGGACTATTTTTCACACAGCATCAGGTATGGTCATGAGATGGTCCCTCATGCTGAACAAAGCAGTTAACCACTCATGGTAGATGGCCCTCAGAGCAGACTGAAAACTTCTAAGACTGGACCTGCTCTGCTGGAAACAATCCCTAACAATCTGATCCCCCAAAACTGCTCGTGCTCAAGTGTGTTTTCAGTTCCAGACCCTGAAAAATTCTACTTGTGGGCTAAAGGAATTTCTAGTCTTTACTGGATCAAATTCAAGTATGCCATCAGGTAGGTTCCAGTAAATATTGAAATTTAGTAACTTCAAAATAGGTACAAACCCTTTATTTGATCCATTTTGTTGTATCCACACTGTTGCTGTGATGGGTAGTAACTCCCTTTAAATTTACATAGCAACATTAATTCTGTGCATTTCCACAGCATTTTCTTTTTGCTTGAAAACATTTCACAGCCACTACTTGCCCTCTACAGACACATCACACTGTGGCATTTCTATGACCTGCTAGAGAGAACACAAAAAAGTACTAAAAAATGTAGTCACATTGCCAAATTCATCCCACTATTGGCAGAGTAATAAATCTGTACAAAGTTTCACTGAAAAGCAAGTAGTAGAAACTATAATAAGGAATAGAATTAATAAACAGATCAACATGATACACTTTGGAAGAACCAGATGTTTGTTGGGTTTGTTTGTTTGGTTTTTTTTGGTAAATGGGAAATCTGTATCAAGTACTATAAGACTTCTCAAAAGGGCTCTGCTTTCAATCATGCTCCTCAACAAGACTTTTAAGATAACCAAACAGCCATTGCTCAGGAGGGAAGGGTCCTTCTGGGGCAAACAGCTGTTAAAAATAACAGACAGGAGACAGGACGGTCAGTGCTCACCATGGACCAAATGCATCAGTGCAAAAAGGATGCTGTGAATGCAAAAGTTTAACACTAGCTCAGTGGAGAACTGGAAAAATCTTAGAAATTAAATCTGTCAAGGTTAAATGCACAAATCCCATATTCAGCTTAGGACGTGAAAACTGTTGGAGGCTGGACAGCAGTAAAGGAAGAAGCATTTATACCTACTTTCTTCTTAGGCTTTTATCAAGGCATCCACTTACAGTGTCTGCTGGAGTCAGGATCGATATCAGCCAGGCCCAGCATGGTCATTCTTCTTTTATACTCTAGCTACTGCTCTGTAGTAGTATCCTCATGACCTTTTGGGCAGAGAGGTACCCTGATAGAAACTGCTATTTTGCTAGAAATATCACAGAATGACAGGTAGTCCAGTCTAAAACCACTCTGGGTCAACAAGCCTGAGATAAGCAACAATTTTAATCCTTGAACAGTCAGGAAGACAGAAGAGTGCTGCCAAGGCATGTTATGTCTAGTTGTGTTTGCATCTTAAGTGGTATCAGTAAGTTCGGGACTTTGCATCAGGCCAGGAAAACAGTAACATTTGTGTCCTTTGAACAACTCTGAGTTCCACATATCAAAAAAAGGTGAAATTTATTTCTTTAGGCAGCAAGCCATCAAAGAATTGTGTTTTCAGATGTGTCATAGCTATTTAGTTAATTTTGTAAACTGATGTATCTCTTTTACTCTGGAGTTTGCACTTCTGCTTATGGTCTGGTATCTGGAGAAATGAGTATTTTCTGACATTTGCAGTGAGCAATCTGAAGAAAAGTATTTGACTAGACCCAGAGTTGACTTCCACAGACACATGGCACATTTTCCTGATATTACTGCAGCCCAAGGAGGTGAACAATTTTAAACATACAGTATAATCTAAACAAACAAAAAAAAAATCTAAACTTGCATATTATTAACAGTCATTGAAGTCTGAAATTCAACTTAAAATCTGGTCCATCAGAGATATTTAGTATTTAGTGAACACTGCTACTTTTGTGTGAATCTAAAGATTTTATTTTTGTCTTTTGGAAGATGTCTATTTTTTTCCACTCAAAGTTTCATTTTGAATGGTCATACTGTACAGCTGGAGTGAAGTTTGTGGACCCATCAACTAATAACTCCTACACATCAGAACTGCACTGGATCACGATGTAGGTGCCCAAGCACACACCAGTCTCCCCCAGACTAAAACAGAGGCTGGAGCTCGGCTCTGCCTCTGCTCCTGGGAAGCTGTTCGCCTTGTGATGCTACCAGAGAAACGGCACAAGAGGGCGTCTGATGCCTCCAACATTTGAAGTCTTGACTTCCACAAACTGTCTTTTCTGCAATACTATGTTATATTTCCTAATGATTGCAGCAAGGGGACATGACAAAGCCCTGAGCAATACCATAGCTGCATGTGGTTTAGCATCAGTTTTTCTACCCTACTGAAAGCATTTAAGAATATTTTCATAATCTACTACGTAAAGACTGGATTCTCTGTTAACAATTTCACCTTTTTTAAATAAAAGTCTATACTAGTTTCTGTGGGGGGAAAAATCCTGCCATATGTGAGCTCTAAATTGTAGGAAGCAGGAGAAACAGATCCAGAAACAGTAAGACAAAAGCCAAAAAGGTTAGATAATTTTATGTCAAATTTAGTCTGGCAATCACCCAAACCATGGACTTTAGCAGATTGCTTGCTGGTTATAACAGAAGCCACTTCCTCTGCAGCAACAGGCATATCAACACCATTGTCTGCTTCCTGGGGATGGACTTGGGGTGTTTCAGTCCTCTGGGTAGAAGGTCCAAGCTGCACAATGTTCTTATGTGGAGCCGAGTGATTGAAAAACACAAAGCCACAAACCCCCACCGGTGCCCCCGTGGGGAATTCTCCCATGTATATCTCGTGGTATTTTTCTCCCTGCCCTGGCTCCGGGCACTCTGACAGCTCCATTGAGTAGAGGGGAGGAAGGCTCTGCCCCATGGCTCCTCTACAGCTGCAGATGACTCATGCTGGAAGAGTCATCTGCAGAAGTCAGATTTCAGAAGTTTTCCCAAGTTCGTTTCAACACACTGAGTTCTATCACTTTAAAGTTCCCCACATAATTGTTGCTTGCACAGCAGAGCCTGGCCTGGTGCACAGGGACAGACCTCAGGAAGCAGCAGGCCGAGGCTGCTCCCCAGGGGTGAGGGGCCACCTGCTCACTCCTGGCAGCCACACTCCTCCTTCTCCTGCAGTAACATCCCCAAGGAGAAACTGCTCCATCCATGCTGCCTTCTTGGGACAGGTAGAAACAGAGAAACAAACCCTGCTGCTCTCCTGGTCCATGAAAGGAACACTGGGCAGATAAGACTTTCTCAGTGCTCTCCTCCCATGACCAGCACTGCCTGGCCAAAGGAGCAAGGATATGTTTGAAGCTCCCATTCCTGTTTTCCACTGCTTTGTTTGCTTTAGGGATAAGCATCTTCCCTACCCTTGCTTTCTCTACAGCTCCAGACAGGGCTATGGAGGCACACAGAGTTATGCTGGCTCCAGGGGCTCACCCACATCAGGTCAAGACAGACAATCCTGTAAGTAGTTTCCTACCAAAAATGGAATGAGGAAGGTTGCCTCTTCCTCCTGCTCTGCTTCCCACTCCATACAGGGGAGGCTTAAAAAAGGGACTTTCCATTTGGATTTCAGCCATCAGAGCAGAAGCAAAGTCTTCTTGAAGGGCATGAGAAAGCCTTTCTTGCAGGGGGGATTGGGCAGACCACGCCACACACTCCCCACAGCAGTGTGCAAGAATGACATCATTACACCAATACATGAGACAGGAAGTGCAACCAAGCAGAAAAACCACTGAAAGTATCTGTGAAGTGCTGCCAAGAATGCTAACGATGGCACTAAGCAGAAAACAAGAGGTTTGGTTCATCTAACTTCTTCCAGCTTTAGTCATCTCTAGTGTCACTTGTAACAGTAACATTAGATAGTAAAAAAATAGGTCCTTGGAAAGACACTGATAAGGGCCATTTTTTTTTCTCCAGGTGATAGTGACTCTCAATTGTCTTATCCCAGTCCTCAAATTAAATTCAGTACTTTGACACCATAATTTTGACACTATAATTTTTAAATTATACTAGTGCATTACCAATGATCTTGGTAAGCCATTCTTGCATTTGTCTTCTTACTATGTAGATTCCTTTGTTTTCCAGAAAATTGCACTGAGGTCTACAGTCTCCTTCAGCATGGCTCACTTGCCTAACTGCAGCTGCTCAAGCCTGAGCCAAGCCTTCTTTGTTGTCACCCGAGTCACATATTTCATCTTGTATTAATGTAAACATACAGGGTCACCTGAGCCCCACTTGATGTGTAAGACTTCTTTCCATTAGTCCTAAAGATTTCTAAACTGATCCTAGAAGCTCACAGCCAGACAAGTTTGTGTCCCCTACCTGCCTGCTGACAGAGTGGCAGCACCCAGGACAGGGTTGGCACTTGGCAGTGGGGAAGCAAAACCATCAACAACCAGAGTCTTCCACCGTTACAAATGTTCACATAACTTAACTTACAGATAGGACTTCATGAAACCACAAAGCCAATCTAATTGCTGACTGCTGCCAAAACAGGAGGTTTCTTCTCCTGCTTCCCTTGCACTGGCACTTATTTAACTCTGTAACCAGCCATCCACAGAGCTACACTCACATCAATCGCCCACTGCAAGAAAAGTGAGGCTTCTGCTGCTGACCCAGCTCACTGCAAGTTCACCTGCCTGACAGTGCTGGTATGCAGGTGGACTGACTGGGGAGGGAAGGAAGCTCACAAATCCTTTAAATTATGATACCGAATCTGTACAGCATAATACAAAATATTGCAGCCTTAGCAGTGTATCATTCCCCTCAAAAGCTTGTTCATAAACTGCCAGTTTGTACAAACATAAACCATCCCACGCAGAAATTACTAAATGAAATACTGTTACTCACATGACATTTTCAGTTCTCTGCTGTTGTATCTGTAACATCTACCTAACATTTGGAAAATACAGTAAATATGTTGTTACTTCTCATAATTCAGCATCAGATCTTACAAACCTGCAGGTATGAAAAATATAATTAATTCCTTAACCTTCTGAAAATTTTATTTAACGATCCTGTTTAACTATCATACAGTTGGAATATGATGAAAATATCAATGGATATGTAGCAAATGACAGATTAATTCAGCCCCAGCTTTTACATGGCTTCTGTACGAAATACACCCAGAAATCAGAGACCTTCCAAAAAAAATCCCAACCTTAAACAGGATTAAGTAGCCTTCAAATAACCACTAGTCCTATCAGCAGTCTGCCATCAAATTAAGTCAGCCTGCTTTCTCTCATTTATACCCTCCTATAGATGACAGCAAAGAATCTGACCCTCTAGAAACAAAATCTGTGTACGGCTGTGACAATGACATTACCGAGTGCAGTCACCTGTGGTGTGAGCTACAGGCCCCAAATCTACTTCCCTTAATTCTATAAGTGTGCTCCCCATTGTAAAGGCTTTCAAAAGAAACCAAACAACAAGAGAAAGAACAGCAACTCCTGATTTAGAACCCATAGCAAATAATTCTTTGCTTTGGTTACAATGGGGGGTATACAAATGAATGAATCTGCTGGTTTTGACAGTGGCAGGAACTGGGTTGTCTTGCCTGTTCCCAGGGCTGTTCTACTTCTTTGCAGCAGGTGCAGAAACAAAAAACGAGAATTTCTGATGTACGTTTCTTCAGATAACTGAAAATTCTCAGTGTTGCTATTGGGTCAAAGCTCAACAATTACAAGAAATTTAACCGTTTCTGTTCAGAGTCACCCCTAAAACAGGAAAAGTCAGTTAGTGTAAGGCTGTGCTGTCCAAAGGCAGAGGGCAGTCTTCCATTCTGCAGGGATCTCTTATCACATTTCTCACCAATACTCAGTAGCACATCAACAATGCGACCAAACACAGGGCATGTCTGGAACAGACACCCAAGTGAATTTATGAATTCCTGTTATTTTAAGGACAATATTCACAATTGCTGCTTTTGCCCTGGAATGAAAGCCTCCATACTGTGGTACACAGCAGCACTTCCACAAAGCCAAGACAAGGCCATTGGCTCCTGAAGCCTCAGGTGAAAGGAGCCTTCCAGTATGTAAAGGAGGCCTACAGGAAAACTGGAGGACTTGCTACAAAGGCATGTAGTGACATGACAAGGGGGAATGGCTTTAAACTGAAAGAGGGCAGGTTTCAATTACCTATTAGAAAGAAATTTTTTACTGTGAGGGTGGTGAGACATTGGAACAGGTTACCCAGGGATGCTGCAGATATCCCTTCCTGGATATTCCACCCTGGGAAGTGTTCAAGCCCAGGTTAGATGAGGCCCTGAGCAACCTGGTCTAGTGAAAGGTGTCCCTGCCCACGGAACTAGATAACCTTTAAGGTCCCTTCCAACCCAAACCATTCTATGATAAGGGGAACACTACAGTCCCCTGGTGACTAGCATCCACTGGAAAGGTAGAAGGACAACATCCATTTGAGACAGGTTTTTTAAAACTATGACAAAAGAGCTACAGTGAAAGGAACCCAAGTCAGAAGGCTTTGTGCCCTGATATCCCACACAGCATAATCCTGTGGAGTAGCAATGACAGTTTGAGTTATTGAGGCCAGGACTGAATGCAGGGAGCAGGTCTGGAAATGTTCCCTGCTGAGACCAATACAATTAGCCTCAACAAAGAACTTGAAAGTACTCAAAATGCAGACTGAACCTATCCCAGGTTGTGTACTTTCAACAGAACAGGCTGAACAGGACCATGAAATGACAGAAATACACTATTATCCACCAGTATACCTGTGTGCTCATAGAAGCACACAGCTTTTTACCTTCAAGCAGCTACTTACCCTTGAACACAATTCACAAAAGCACTGGGCCACTTTAGCAATACCATACAATTAATGACTGATACAGCTGTGCATTCACTGCAGATTTTTGGCAGCTACAGCCACATCATGAGACTGGTCATTTATTGTTACATACAGACACTGAAGAGACACAGAAAGGATTATTATTTTCCCTTAACTTGTAATTGGGTGTGTCCCTTCTGAAAACACTGCAAAGGGGAGCTTCATTGTGCCAGCCAGGAGGAGACTATCTCCAAAATATGGAGGTGCCCTAAATGGTCTCTCATTCTTGGGGTCACCAAGAGGAGAATTTGTTCCTGGTGAGGGAATGAAGCTGCAGTGCCAGGCTACAGCACACAGGAGCTCTGCATGAAAAAGCAAATCTCATCCAGAGGGAATTTCTGTTTACTTGAATGCCTTCCCTATAATCCCATTTTATGGGCCACATATTTTGGGAATGCTGCACAGTCAGGAGACTGGCAGAGACTAAAGGGAGGTGAATCCTTTCAGAGGACTGCAGAAAAGCAGGACACAGCCTCAAACACGCTCATGGCACCCTTCTGCTTAGCTACATCTGTATTATCATAACAAATGTTTTGGTCTTAAATAGGTACTGAACTCTAGCAAGAAATACAAGTTGTTGCTTATTTTAAAGTAAGAAAACCGTAATATGAGGATTTTAAAATTCACATTGAAACACTTCTCCTGTTTGAAAACTAAAAATTAAATATAGCACGTCACCTTCTAAAAAAATAAGCTCCAAGATGGTAATGGAGGTTAAACACAAACAAAAAAAGGGAAGAGTGAACAGATTTCACCATTTTTGGCTTGATAACTCCTTTCTTTATGGATACGTCCATTAACCTGCAAATGGAATAACACACAACTGAGCAATAAACATGGTAGAGATTGATAACATTAATCACTATCTCTTTGGAGGGGTATTAGATCTAGATACCCCACATTCTCTCCTTTGCAGTTCATGACTGAGTAGTGGTGAAGCAACACCAAGGAGAATTCACCATGCCTGAAGCAAAATCCTTACTCTGTGACTCCTCCCCCAAGACTGTAAAGACTGGCACGGCTGCATACAAACAACTTTCAGGCTGAAAGTATGTCAATTATCAATTGATCCACATAGCTAATAAAAGCTACTTTTACCAACACAAAATCTTTGTTCTCCATCCAGGGAGCCTAATGTTTTAATCCCAGCCCCTCAGCTTTTCGGTAAGAGCCCAGTGCCCAGTACCTGGCAGGACCAAGCACTTGTTAAGCTGCTGTGGTTCCTTTGCATTAGTATTTTCCATACAGTACTTTGAAACAGAAAGCATGCAGAAAATACAGTGACTTATAATCCTGAAGAACAATGGGCATTTCTGTGAGCTAGTTTTCTACACAGGATGTGGGGTGGGCCTTCTTGAGCTTGTGTAATCTGTCTGGAAGTCCAAAAACCACACTACAAAAACATGCTTTTCCTTTAATAAACAGTCACACACAGAGAGAGTCTAACACTAGTTTACACATCTGTCATTCACCATTAAGTAAAATTTTCATTAAAAAAATGGTTGAAAAAAATAATATTATGCCAAATTACATACACAGACTCTATCTAACTAAAATATATAGCCTTTTTTAACCCAGCAAGAACCATATTTAGGGATGGAAGATTCACTCATTTAAAATGAAGTGAGAAGTTGCACCTCTGATACTCCTTTAGGTGCCAGTTCATGTCCTAGGATCACTAGAGCCCAGAGAAGAAAATGCAAAGGCACTGTAAACATTTTAATGGAATGTGCTGGGAGAGATTATCCTACGAAGTGGCTTTTCTAGATACTCTAAGACATTAGGTTTAACAACTTCAGGCAGCCCTTTGAAGTCCTTTATTTCAGACACTCTGCTAAGATCAACTCTGTCCCTTTCCTCCAAACAGCACCAGAGGAAGGTCCACTAAAAGAAACTGTTTGCTGTACAAGGCCTGGGCCAAGAACAGCAGAGGTTAAAACCTGAGAGAGAAATGCCATCCTCCAGAGCTCTCCTTTAGCACTGCAGGGTAAAAAGACAGCAAATCTGAAATAAAGTGAAAAAAGAGCACACAGGAGTAATGCACTGTTTCACACTATTCCACATTCAGAAAGCTTAACTCCCAATTGGAGTTGACCTTCCTGAAAATTTGACTACGTCCCCCTCCCCCCAA